ACCCATGTGGGAACCATGAAAAAGGAGTTTCTTCTAAAGTGATTGAATTGTCACCATTTAACATCGAGATGCTATATACCTCTCTCCAGAATCCTGGTTGCCAAACTTGGGCTGCACGTTAGAATCCCCTGCGGGAGATTTTAAAACTCCCGATGGCCAAGTTGCACACTGCATCAGTGAAATGGGAACGTCTGGGCACGGGAGCTGGGCATCAGCATATTTGAAAGGTCACAGGGAAGTCCGAAGCACAGCTGAGTTTGGGAATGACTGCACCGTTAAGTGGCAGCTGTGGTTGCTTGAAAGAATGCCAGCTCAGAAAACTAACGGGCCCGCTGCTTGATACCTGTGTTGATTTCTTAACCTACATTGTTTTTGAGGAGAAGAGGCAGAAAAATGCTATCTGCGGTTTTGTTGTCCGGTGTTGTTTTCTGGATCCGAAGAGAAGAGCTGTGCTAGCTCATAAAACTTAGTACCCATTCTGCCCCTTGGATTAATTTCCTATCGCTGCTCTACTGAATTACCACAAACGTCGTGGCTTAAAGCAACATAACTTTACTATTTTACTGTTCTGTTGGCCAGAAATCCAACCTGGCTCTCAGCGGGATACAGCTGAGGTGTTGGCAGGCCGAATTCCTTTCTGGAGGCTCTAGGGAAGGATCTGTTTGCTTTTGGTTTCCAGTTCTAGAAGCCACTTGCATTCTGCATGCATGTCTCCCTTCCATCTGCAGAGCCAGGGATGGCCAGTAATCTTTCTCACATGACATCACTCAGACTCCTCTACATCTCTCTCCCACATTTAAGGACCATCTAAGGATGCCTGGGTGGCTCAGTCAGTTGAGCATCTGTCTTCTGCTCAAGTCATGATGCCAGGGTCCTGGGATAGAGCCCAGCATCTGGCTCCCTGCTCAGTGGGGGTCTGTGTCTCCCTCTGCCCGCCACCCTGCTTATGCTCACTCACAGGCTCTTTCTCTCACAAATAAATAAATAAAAATCTTAAAAAAAAAAAAAAGGACCAGCCAGATGATCCAACGTAATCTCATTGTTGTAAAATAGCTGATTAATAACCTTAATTTCCCTTTGTCATGTCATGTGACATATTCACAGGAGCTGGGCATTTTGGGGAGCTCATTATTTCATCTACCACACCCTTAATACCTTTCCCTTTGATCAGGATACAAAGCATAATTGTAGGTTCCTGTCGACTGATGTCCTATAAATACACAGGAGTCTTGCTCATGTTAGATGAACGTGACCAACTAAATGAGACTTATTGCAGGTCCTGCTTCATTATTTGTCCTACTAACAGACCCCTTCCCTGTGGCTCTGTCTGGGGGCCAGGCTTAGGCACTGGTGTTTGTATCACAAGATCCTGCAGTATAACCAGATGTGGCCCCTGATGGGTAGGGGGTGTTGCACAGTGGGGGGAGGGCAATGAAAGAGCTTGCCGGCACCTCATTAGAATTTTCCTTAAGAACTTGAGGGGAGAGACACAGATAACCGTCATTAGTGGTTGCTGCACTCTGGAGTCAAACAGGGGTTGTGGAGATGGGACTGAAGTTGTCAGGATACTAATGCAATATTAGTCAGGGTCTGAAAGGAGCAAGAGCCCGCCGAGCTCACCCAGAGGGGAGGATGGTCTGCAGAGATGACAGCACAGAGCACGTTTACTGAGAGGCGCTGGGAGGCCAGACTTTCCTCACAGCTTTAGCTCTATTTTGGAAAACAGTGTTTTGAACAAGTATGAAGAACTAGAACTTGTGACAGGGGTGAGAATTAAAGAGGCTGATTATGAGTTCTGAAGATTGTTTATAAAGTCGTAGCAGCTTTCTCTTACTCGTGTAACAGGGAAAATAGAGAAAAGAAAGTAAAAAACAATCGTAAAATCTCACCATCCTACATGTTCCTGATCTTCCATCTTTTATCAATAACAACATAGAAAGTGCTATGGGGGAGGCAAAGTATTATTTGGAAGTGTTTTAGGTTAAAATGAGCAGCAAAACTGGTTAACAGCAGCTGAACTCCAAGGGCATTGAATTTTATTTAACGAGAAGTCTAGAGGTGATTCTGGGGTTTGTTCTGAAGCTCCATGATGTCATCAAGGATTACCCCTCCCTCCCCCAACTCTCTCCAAAGAAGGACATTATTCCCAGCTATTGGCTTTTCATTCTTGGTCTGGTGACCTCATGGTCACAAGATGGCTGCCTCAGCTTTAGGTAGTGTGGCTTCACATCAGCTTTCCAAGGTGGAATGAAGGTGGGAGTAGCGCATAGAGACTATATTCTTCTGAGGTCCTGTCATTTTGTGTGAGACAGGGACCACACCACCCAAGCCAACATCTCCCTACATCTCTTTGGTCAGAACAGCCCCATCTGCCTACCTCTAACCCAACACTACCAAAGGGGAATGGGACAACATGATGATTTAGACCACACATGATGAATCGCCTGTGACCAGAATAGATGCCTCCCTCCCTCCTTGTGATGAGTGGATTTCCACCGGTTGAAGTTTTGTTAGCAGAGAAGAAGTAGGGCTAAGGCTATTGGGTAGCCGAGAAACAGTTGGCAACAAGCAGGCAATGAAATGACTGGAGGAAGAAGAGGAGAAACAGGAATTAGGAAACCACAGACTTCTTGGTTTTGCAAGATAAGAGCTGTAGCTATGCCTATTACACCAGCTCTGGCGAAGGCTGCTGAAACCACATCAGAATGCATTTTTCCTCTATGCTGGAGGAAACTTCCACATTCTAGGTCAAAGACCTTGCCTGGGAATTGCTTTCCGCTATTGACCGTCAGATGCTATTTGAGATACTGCTGTCATTGACAATGGGAAGGGCCACAGAACACAAGTTCTAAGAATCAGTCAGATTTTGGGACTTCTCATTCTCTCTCCCACCTTGTCCCAAGTAGTTAAAAATCAACACAAAGTCCAACCCATAACTACCAACCCATAACTGCCATGACTAGTACCCATTTTAGTGTATCAAGAGGTGCCTGGGTGGCTCAGTTGGTGGAGTGGTCAACTCTTGATTTTAACTCAGGTCATGATCTCAGGGTGGCGAGATCGAACTCTGTATTGGGCTCCACGCTTAGCAAGGGGGTCTGCCTGAGATTCTCTCTCTCTCGCTGGCCTCTCCCCTCCAACCCATGCATATTCTCTCTCTCTCTCAAATAAGTAAATAAACCTTTAAAAAATAATAATAATATCAACATTTCCAAAATCATTTTCTGGGTTGCCACTTTTCAGATGCCCATAAATATGCCTTTATTCTATGTTTCGGGTAAGGCACCACTGCTCATGGGAATTCTCTAGTCTCGTATGTCATCACCGGAACCCCAGATAATATATAAAAAATTGTTTATCACCTCAGTACTTTGAGAGTTCATTGAGACCATCAAAGGGTAACATCCTGAGGGCGTAGTTCCAAGCAAATTCAGTAACTAAGTCAACATATGTAAAGTACAGAAGCTACTGCTTGACATAGAGTGAACTTTACATAAAATGTTGTTCGAGATCTTGAAACTCTTTCGGGATGAAAAGAGACCACATGATGTATACATGGACGGTACGTTAATGAGAGAGCAGTGGAGAGAGGGCAAGGGTAAGAGAACGATCCCTCTCTGATCATCCTCCCTATTCCAGGTGCAGGAAAGACAATGTACATCCCTGTGTTATGACATGTTAATCACGACAAGCAACCCCACCAGGTAAGGATTATTATAGTTACTTGACCAGAGAGGAAATTGAAGATCAGAAACTTGGAATGACTTGGGCAAGATAAATCGGTAAGCAGCAAAGCTGTCTCAGGTCTGTCCCAACTGACCCATGCTTTTCTTAAGACTACATGCTACTTTTTTTTTTTTTTTTAAGTTGGACAGATTCACAGGACAAAATATTTGGTATATGAATAAAAGCTTTAGCTGTTCATAAAAAAGGGCACCAAATCCATGCAAGCTGGCTGGCTGTTTGATGTCCCTGGAGGCAAATACAATGTAGCCTTTGCATAACCGTTGTTCAGTATTTACCCAACAAAGGTGAAAAATGGGATTCCTGTCCTCAGCAAACTTACAGGCCAGTGGAGAAACAGAAATGCCAACAAATTCAACATGGTAACTGCTACCGTGGTCATACATTCAGAGCAGAGGTGGATTATGGAAAAAGAAATCCCTACCTGGAAGGGTGTTGGAGAAAGATCACAGAGGATATAATTGTGACACAGGATGTTGGCTTGAGGACAAACAGGAATTTGTCAGGTGGGGAGGACAGTCTGTGAAAGGGAGGGAGGTTGAGGAGAGCTCTGGAAATTCCAAGTAGTTCAGTTTTGATGGCTTGTGAAATTTAAAGATAAGAGTGGCAGAAAACAAGTCTCTGGGGGAAAGCAAGAGCCAGACCGACCTTCCTTCCTTCCTTCCTTCCTTCCTTCATCTTTCTTTCTTTCTTTCTTCTTTAAAAAAAAAAAATGATTTTATTTATCTATTTGAAACAGAGAGAGAGAGAGAAAGAACAGAGGGAGAATGAGAGGGAGAAGGAGACTCCCCACTGAGCAGAGAGCCCAACATGGGGCTCGATCCCAGGACCCTGAGATCATGACCTGAGCCGAAGGCAGCAGATGTTTAATGGACTGAGCCACCCCGGCACCCCCAGATCTTTCTAAAAGTGTTTAAATTGCATAGTTTTTAGAAGAAAAACAATTATGCCTCAGTGTGATGTCACCAAATAACAGATGATATGAAAGCATTGAGGTCCAAAGTAATTAATATTTTAAGTGTTCGTGCCTGCCCAAGGTCAGAGGGGACCCAAATGCCCGCCGATAGAGGACTTGTTAAATACATCTTGTATACACATAAATGAAAAACCATGCAACTACTAAAAAAGAATGAGACAAATCGAGAGTGTCCTAGATCAGATTCTCTAGAAAGCCAAGATAACAATGTAGGGCGGTGCAAGCCTGGGGTGGTGAGGGGGAGGCTGGTAGGAAGTAAGCCCAGAGAAGGTTCATGGCCATGCGTTGTGTTAGCATGCCCACCACATCAACGACTGGAAGAGACACGGTGTTTCATTCCGCAGGGCGGTTACAAGCAGGAGCCGTCTCAGAGTGGTCTGTGAAGGAGAGGTAGAGGAGAAGTCCACTGCTTGGCTCCTCCTGTCTCTCGTTTCCAACTGGGGGAGTTTCTCACTTGCCAGTTAGGTCCTGACCCTTGCTGGCACCCGGGTCGCTGGGACGAATGCCTTGTTCTGTGGTGTTTCATCCGGGTCCCAAAGTGGAGGGACTACCGGGCACAGGAGGAGCACTGACCAAGAGAGAAAGAGGGACCTGTTGAGGGAATTTTAAAAGGCACGCAAAGATTTTTATCCCAATCTGTATACTGCTGGTCTATAACATAGTCTGGAAACATAGACATAATTTTATCATACATGTTGATAAGTTATCTTTTTACAAAAGAAATTCCTTAAGTTTTCTTATGTAGGCACCTTGTGCTTTGGTATAAAACAAGCTTCAGGATGTCCTAGAATTGAGTAGACAAGGTATACGGCACAGTATACACTGTATGTCAACACTGGGTTGAATAGAGAATGTAGGTGTCGTGGGGGGCACAGGCAGAATAGCAGAAGGAGATGAAAAGGTAGAGACTTTCAGGTATAAAATAAGTCATGGGGATATAAGGTACAGCCTAGGGAATATAGTCAGTCATATTGTGATAGTGTTGGATGAGGACAGATGGTGGCTACATCATCTTGGCGAGCATTTCACAATGTACACAAATGTTGAAAAACCAGATTGTACACCTGAAACTCATAGGATACTGTATGCCAACAAGGCTGCAGTTAAAAATAGAAAAGTGTATGTATGTTTATTCCTGCATAGAATTCTTCTGGAAGGAGACCCAAGAAGCCACCAGCACTATTTGTCTTTGGGACGAGGCCTTAGGTGGGAGGGGGATTGACTGAGAGGAAATTCACTTTTCACCATATCCCTTTTTATGCCTTTCTAAGTTTGTACCCTGTCAGACTACATTTATTAATGTGGAAACTTACATTATGCTGAGAGACCCATTTTTAACGTTAGCGTCAGGGTGGCCCCATGACACAGGCAGCAAAGAATCGCGCCAAGAGTAGAGACACACCAGGAGAGAGGTTATTTACTCTCTGAGGCTGCAGAGGGACCAGATATTGAGACGGACATCACCCCTGACTTTCTGTTAAGCTGGGCCTTTTAAGGGGTTTTCAGGGTGTAAGAGGGGTTGCAACTGTACCCATGGGGGAAGGTTCATCAAGAGGTGGGGTGGCTCTTAGCCAGGTAGAGAACCAGGTGTCAGTTTCTTGGGGGGGCTCTGTCTTGGGCTTGTCCAGGATGTGGGTTGTAGTCCCACTAGAGAAGAATACGTTTTGTAGATGTGGTCTATTTTCTGAGAATGAGGGGCCCCATGACATGGAAAAGCAGAGTTAGAGTCACGTAGAGACACCTGTGGGTTTAGTCTGTAAGCCTGGCTGGGGAGGGGGCTTTTTCCCCCCTTTCAGTTAGGAATATCCCATTGGCAGTCATAAAGGGGATTTTTGAAGGAGATCATTTAACTCGACAAATATATAGGAGCATCAGGATAGCAGGGTGGAAACGGAAGGAAACATGGCAGACCTGCCCCTGCCTGACAGGGTTTGTACCGAGAGAGGATAGGCAGACAAGTGTAAGGCAGTGCTGTGGGCTCTGGAACCCTAACCAAGGGAAGACAACGGATCCTCGGGCTGAGTACCCAGTCCCAGGGCTGAAGAAGTGATCTCGAGGTAAAACCCCCTCACGGCAGCGCTCAGTCTCTCATGTTTCCCCCCTGTATTCCCGGTGCTGTACTTTCCGCCCCCGTGACTTACTGATGTCGTAACCAGAAGTTCGTACCTCTTACCCCCTTCACCTGTTTGGCCCATCCCCCAACTCCTCCCCTCTGGCAACCACCAGATCGTTCTCTGTATCGGTGAGTCTGTTTCTGCTTTTGCTGCTGTTGTGTATGTCCCTTTGTCTCATTTTGTTTTAGGTTCCACACAGAAGTGGAATCGTGGTATTTGTCTTACTCTGGCCGACTTAATTCATTCGGCATCATGCTCTCCAGATCCACTCATGTCGTTGCAAATGGCAAGATCCCATTCTTTTTATGGCCATTTGCGTGAGTGTGTGCGAAAGAGAGTTATATAATCATAGTTACATATAATAAATATATATACACACACACACACGTAAAATAATGTATATATTAGATATACACATTAGTTTCTCATTTTTAAAGTGTTGATGGTGCACTAGAACAGAGGTACATAAACTTTTTCCATAAGGGGAGATAATAAATATTTTAGGCTGGACTGACTCTGTCCCAACTCCTGAGCTCTGTTGAGGGAGGCCACAGCAGCCTTACCAGTACCTACACGAGGCAGGCTGTGGTCCAATTAAACTACTGGAAGCCTTGCCAGTCTACTAGAGGTTCCAAGAAGACTCTGAATGTCATATGATTTTTATGTGTCATGAAACATTATTCTTCCTTGGATTTTCCCTGAAGCCTTTAGAAAGGCAAAACCTCTTGTCAGCTTGTAGGTTGTACCAAAATGGGCAGAGGTTGTCCTGTTTTGCCTGCAGGCTATGGTAACCTCACCCCTAAGTTAGAATATTGCTCCCACGTTCAAATTCCAACTCTGGTCACGTAAAACATCGATAGGCCTCTAAACAGCAGGGCAGGTGCTGCTGTACCACAAAATCATTGTGGTTCTGGGCCTGCTGGCTGGATTTGCCTCTCATTTTGGTTCAACTTTGGGTTTGCTCTCCCTCCCTCGGCACTCTGATCCTTGTGGCATCATGTGCTGATTTGAAATGGAGTCCTGCGCTGCCACGAAGGTCACAAAAGAAGATTTAATGCCCCTGTGACTGCCAGTTAATTCATTTCCGGACATCAGAGGCGCTTTTAGGAGCCCCACACCATATGCCATATGGAATCTCATTATGAGCTCCCTAGAGCTTCTGTTCATGCCATCTGTCTGTGACTTCCTGTGTGGGTTCTCCGGCGGACGGGGACTCGCCTCTCAGAAATGCTTCTATCAAGTAAGTTTTCAGAGCTCAATTCTGAACATCTGCCCCTGGAGTTAGACGTATACATTCAAGGCTTAGACATCGGAGGCACATTTATAATGATCGCTATTGTGAAGGCCCAGCTGAAAAGCAGAAGAATGTATTGTAGTCCGTCGCTGGGGTAACACCCGCACACCAGCACTGCCAACCCTGCAAAATCCTGCAGAAGCTCGGCTTGAAATTCTCCCATTTTGAGGACTCTGACTTGTTCGTCAGAACCTTGGTGTTCTGCCTGAACTAGGCCTCTGCTCTCAAACATATCCAGAATTTTCCACCCTAATGGTAAAAATTATATTTGTCATTGCATTGTTTTGTGTTTGTGTCCCCAGGATCTAATACAACACCTGACCCTTAGTAGGAGTTCAGTGAATTTTCGTTAACCTGAACTGAGAGGTTGACTCATACCCCGTGAGCTTCTAGATCATCTCCTTCTGCAGTATCAATGACGGGACTTGCCCTCAGCGTGACACTGGTGATCAGTGGCAAAGAAAAGGAACTGTTTGTCTTCTGATACCTCCTTTGCTCTGCCTTGGGTGAGTTCTTTCACTGCCCACACTGCTGGCCTCCCCCTGAACTGGTTGCCCCACATGTGGTGCCATGCCAGGCCAGGACTCTCCCCAGATTCTCCAGAAATTTCCCAGAACTTGCCCTTGGTGGACCGACCATAGTAGTACTCCTTGGGGGAACGGATGACCTCCTGCTGAGGTTACTCCTCAGTGAGGATCCGAAGTCCTGGGGTGGACTTGCCCCAAAGGTTGAGGATTACCCTTTGGAGGGATCCTGTCCTCCCTTTCCCTTCTCTTTTTAGCCCTTCGTGGTCTGACCCTAATACTTCCCAGACAACCGAAGATCTCGGGCCACCAAGCGGAAAGCAAATAGGCTTATTAGGCAACCCACCTGGAGACAGCCATAGGCCCTACCAAGCCAATGGTCCGCTTACAACCAGGCACAGGTACCAAGAAATGAAAATTCCATATGTTCCCATACCTCCTCACTCCCCCGATAACTATACCCCTCACACCCCTTGTGGCAGAGTCTCTTTCTTCTTTGTCTCTTGCCTGCAGCTCCCTTGCTGTATATTCAATATACTTCTCTCTCCTTAAGAGAAATGAATTGTTTGTTACGTTGTCTTGGTGGCTGATGATGCGTGTACATTAAGTTCGTACTTATTTTGTGAAAATGAATGAGATACTCAGAGTAAAGCATTTTCAGATCATCAGATGAATGCATAGAATAGACCACCCAGGATCACAAGGTGTGGATGGAGGAAAAGATCTTGACCTCCTAGTGAGAAGATCTTGGCTTAAATACCAGCTCTTTACGAGCTCTAAAATAAAAAAAAATAAAAAAAATAAAAATAGGGGCACCTGGTGGTTCAGTTGGTTAAGCCACTGCCTTCGGCTCAGGTTGTGATCCCGGAGTCCTGGGATCAAGTCCCACATTGGGCTTCTCACTCTGCAGCAAGTCTGCTTCTCCCTCTGACCTTCTCCCCTCTCATGTTCTCTCTCTCATTCTCTCTCTCTCTCAAATAAATAAAATCTTAAAAAAAAATAGAAGGATCATTTACCATTTTATATCTATTTTGGTCTCTGAAACAAAGAATAATCCTGCCTTCTCTTCCACCCTGTGACCTAGAAGTAACATAAGAATTGAACAAGATAAAAAAAAAAAAAAAAGAATTGAACAAGATAGTGTAAATGACTAAAATTTACAAATGAAATTTTGCAAATGCAAATACAGGATTTCTTTATTCATATGCACATTTATAGTCCACTAAGGACAAAGCATTGGGGAATACATATGTGAAAACAAATTTTTAAAGGCAGACAAATGAGTGGCACCCAGGGAGATAGCAGGAATGGTCCTCAACTTGAACGGGCTTAAGAATCAGGTGGAAGGCATGTTAAACATGCAGATTCCTGTGCCCCACCAGATACATTCTGGTGTGAAAGATCTGGTCTTGGGTACAGGTTTCTGTGGATTTAACAAACTCCTCAGGAGATTCTGATGCAGGTGGTCCATGGACCCGGCTTTGAGAATACCAACGTAGGATTTAGCAGGGAAGATAGAAAAAAAAAATCAGTAACTAATTACTTATTAATTTTAGATCTCCAAAATGGGCCTGCAATATTTTGTTGAAATGGTGTTCATGGGCTGTGAAGAAGTGAGAAACCAGTGAGATTATGAGATGGAGGATACAACAATGGTACAATGAGAGTCTTCTCCCCTTACTTCCCACATTTTCTGTGACTGTAACCCGAGGTTTCTTTTAGAAGTTGCCCTATTTGTTAGGATTCAGTTGAGTTCTATGTGTTAAGAAAGAAAAAAAAAAAAAAAAAGCAATGGCTAACATGATGTAGGTGTTTATTTTTCTCGCTTGAAAGCAAGGTATAGAGAGATAAGTGATCCAGGGCTGGGGCTGGGATGGTGGCTTCATAAAATCACTACGGATCTGCTAGATGACTTTTTAGTTCCTCATTCTATCATCCATAGGCTATGGGACCCTCAACCTCATGGTCCAAGATGGCAACTATAGCACCAGCAGTTATAGCATTTTTCCAGGCAGGGAGATAGAGATCAGAAGGAACAAAAGGAGAACCAGCTGTCTTTTAAGGAGACTTCCTAAAACTTGTCATCCCTCTCTATTATATCTCATTGGCTAAAGCTGCAGAAATATATTGGTTATTCTCCAGGCAGCCACATGCCATGATACAAATCAGTGTGTCCATTAGTAAAGAAGAGGGAAGAATGAACACATAATGAGGCCAGCAACCAGAAATCTGGGGCCCAAATGGGATCTTGGGGTTTGAAGTCTGTTTCACTGGGCCTGGCCTCTGGCCACAGTGACTCCAGCTATTGCCTGATGTTGAAGCTCCCCCAGAGCTGGAGGAGCCGAGAAAATCCGGTGGTGCTGGTGGGCAACCGCTAGTAGACGATAGTTCACAGGATGCCAGACCCAGATCTTCTGAGTTGGTGGCACATAAGTGTCCTCTGGCCTCTGTCTTCTGAAGTTTATTTCCCTGACCGTACCTGCATTGATAAGATATAGGCTAATGTTTTAAACAGGATTGACATCCCAGATTTACGACAAAGAGCCCAATGCCTGCCTGGATGGCTCAGTCGGTTAAGTGTCTGCCTTCACATGGGTCATGATCTCAAGGTTCTGGGATCGAATCTCGCATCTGGCTCCCCCTCAGCCGGGGCAGCTGCTTCTCCCTCTATCCCTCCCCCCTACTCATGATCTCTATGTTTCAAATAAATATATAAAATAAATAATAAAATATAAAAATAGAAATAAAAATATGACTTTTGATAACTTGGCTGCTAAAGGTTTCTATTTTTATTTCTCTAAAATTAAGATACATTCTGATTTAGCTACCTTCCTTGTAGGGTTATTTTGCTCATTGAATGATATATGTGAAGTGTTTTTACACTCTAGGGTTAGATTCACAAATATATTATTTTGAAAAAAAAATCCATCAAAGGTGGGTTAAGGATTAACGAAAGTAGTTTGAATTATTTAAATTGGGTTCATACGCCTTAAATTTTAATTCAAAATTTCCTATTAGCAGGTGATATGAATAATTAAAACTTCTCATTTAATCCAAAAGAAATTCTTCTTACTGGGTTTTTAATAAAATATACAAACTATGAATATCTCAGCTATTGCCTCCAGTTCTTCCTGATTAATGTAACTCATTCGCAGAACAAATCCTCTCTCCCTCAGAACTGATCATTTTTTTCTTGAAAGCCTTATCATAATCTTCTTTGTATCCAACTCAGGTATCTTGTTTTTCTTCAATAAGACCCCTTTTTATGTGTACATTTTAGGTGTAGTCAGATAGGAATGGACAAAACTTACATAACCACATGATTGGTTTCATTTCACGTGGACGGCAATGGACTAATGTCAGCACTTGAATGCCACCCGGCCCTTCATTACTCTAGATGACCACTCACACCTTCTCTGCTCTCCTCAGACCTCCGATCGCCCTTCTCTCTGGGCTTGTTAGCTGGACCTTGCTTTCTAGAATTTATGCATCTCACATAAGTGAAACTTTACAAGACTGCTCAGAAGCTATTTGAGCTAATACCCTCTTGTTATTTATCTTAGTAGAGCTCTGGTGAACATGTACATAGTTCAAAACAGTGTCAGACAAATTGTAACTCAGGTTCAACGTGTTGCTGCTTTGTTCTTATAGACATCTCTGCTCCAGGGTTAGCAAGGTTCTGGGCTTGGACCACCACCTTTCTCCACCTTTCTCCACCTCCGTCACCCTTCCAGTCAGAAGGAGTCCCCATGGCCCCTGGAGTGGTTCAGAGCTTCGGCTTCCTGTTTGAACGAGCATGGGATTTCACTGTGCCCTCTTCATGTTCAGAGATGTGATCTGTGATAAGTTCTTTGCTCCTCTAAGCCTCCTTTTTATCCTCTGTGTACTAGTACCCATCTGATAGCATTGTGAGGGTGAGTGATTCCATGTGGAAAGTCGGTATATGGAATGAAGGTTTAGTAAACAGCAGTTCCTCCAGCTACCCATTCCTGAGTAATCACACACATCTTGTCACATAAAAAAACCACCTTTTAATCATGCTTATGGAATCTCTAGACCAGGAGTTCAAAAAGGGCACAACAGATGACATGTGCCATGATGATGTCTTCTCTCCGCTACCATGATATCTAGGGTCTTAGCTGGAGTGACTGGAAGAGCTGATGGAGCTGGGGTTGGAGGATTGACTTCCAAGATGGCTTCTTCACCCATGCATCTGGTGCCTGGGTTGGGATGGCTGAAGAATGGGCCCGGCTGGGACTGTTGACTGAAGGGCTCACCTATGGCATTCCCATGTGGCTTGGGCTTCCTTAGAGCATGGCAACCTTAGGATAGTCGAACTTCTTAGTGGCAACTCAGAGCTCTTCGTATCTAACTGTGGCAGCTTTAAATCATGGTCCCAAATTCTTGATAGTCCTTCCGTTAAGATCTCTGATGAAGTCTTTGAAGAAAAAAGATGCATGAATACTAGAAAATCTCCCAGAGTCTGCCATTTACTCCATGAGTAGTAGAAGTAATAGAATAAACTATCAGGATTTCTGAGGATGGGCAATGTGTGAATTTAGGACTTAAAGACGTTGGGACAGGGTCCCTAATTATCCTTGGCTCATAGTGATTCTTGAATAAGGCTGTTCCACCCCTCTCCTGCCTTCTCCTCCTGGGAGCTTCTTCCTCCCAGGGTAATTTCTGTTCCTCCTGTGGCCACCTTGGCCACTGGCAAGCCCCACTCTTGCTCTCGGACTTCCTGATCTGCAAGCCTTCTTAGCTACTGCTCTGACCCCTTCTCTGCCTTCAGTTCACACCGTCTGTTTTCTTCTGAGGCCACAATAATGGGAGGCCAGGAAATACAGGGAAGCCAGAGAGGTCTGTGTGCAAAAGCAGAGAATGATATGAATACAGGTGGCTCAACATTTACTATAAGGTTAACACCAAGTAAAATCACTCATTTGTTTCTTAAAACAAAAATATCTTAAAAAAAAAGATTTTATTTATTTGTGAGAGAGAGAGAGCATGAGCAGGGGAAGGGGCAGTGGGAGGGGGGAGGGAGAAGCGGCTTGATCCCAGGACCCCAAGATCATGATCTGAGCCAAAGGCAGACACTCAACTGAGGAAGCCACCCAGGCGCCCCCAAACAAAAATATCTTGAAGACACTGAAGACTTTAAAAGCAGGGTGCTATGATTTTGCATATACATACTCACATACATTTATACGTAATGGTTCTTTTGAGAAGAATGTCAGTTATGCTCCTATTTCTCTTCTTTTGGGCAGGCATCACTGGTTTACACTAATAGCTAGTCAACTCTTAAAGGGCATTCCTCTTGTGGTTTATTAGAAGATTCAATACCTTCAAAGAGTTAGGTCTTTCCCTCTCTGCCTACTGTACTCAGCGTGGGTAGAGAATA